ACTCCGAGAGAAGAAGTGAATATTTTGTAACCTTGTTGAGTATCGCGGTGGCGAGTATGTCCTCGTAACTGTGCTCCGCGACGTTTCGCGCCTCTGGTGCGTTTCCGGTGCCACCGGAACCACCGAGGCCCGGCAACTTCCTCGCTTCCTCCACGGCACGTTCCACGATCTCGCGCAGCGCCGTGTGCGCCATCGTCGGCGAATCCGTGCTCGGTTTGTCTGCAAATGTTCCCGATTTATTTTAAAGTACTTTCTCTGATTAGTTTAATTAATTCTATTTAACGTTTAATTGATTTCAGCCTCGTCAATTAGTCTAATCAATCAACTCTAAGTCTCTCTGAACGTAAGAAAGTTGCGTAAAGTTTGTTTCACGTGTTGCGTTCTGCATCGTTTCTGTAAAGGTTGGTGTACAAGTGTAGGTGTCTGCGGGGGAAATCTGCGGTGGATGTGATCACTGTGTTTGTTCCACACGGAGATAAAGGATACTTGTATGCGTGATATTTCCCTCTCGAGACCACGAAAATGTGGGACAGTTTGCACGAAATTTCGGAATTTTTGCGTGTTTATCTCAGTATATAATGTCTGCTAGAAACTTGTGAAAATGTCGTCCGAATGTCTCGAACGACTCGGAGATATATTTTTCAGAATTTCCCGAACGTCCTCCGCGTGAATGTGAGAAGAAAAATGTAGGAATACTCGAGAAAAGCGTGTGTCGACTGGAGGAGAAATCTCATCGAAAAGGAAATAAATGACGCGAAAGGATTAACGAGTAAGAGAGAGAAAGAGAAAGAGAGAGAGAGAACAGGAAACGAGCGCGCCAGTACGATGGCGTACTTTCATCGACGTGGTAGCCATCGACGATATTGATAATACGGTTCGGAGCGATGAGCGTCTCGTTTCGCCGTGTACGAGCGACAAGCCAAGGTAATTTCACCAGCTCTCGGCCTTGTCAGCAATTCCTCATTCTTCTTTTGCTTGTCCGCGTGCGCGCGACCGAGAGAAATTCGACGGGGACGACCTGCTGAACTCTTTTCGCGGGAAACTTGGAGCTGTGACAGTCTCCGATGATTTATGCCGTGTTTGTTCAACCGGTTAGATAGTTGGAATTGGTCAAGTTAATAACTTGCTTGTTCCATTAACAGATATCTCGCAGAAAGTATTTCATCACTTATCACAGAGAACTTTTTTTTTTACGTTACAATACTTCGTATTATACGTGTTCGAGGACATTTAAAATGATACTCTGCCTGAAAAATTGTGACTAATCTGAGAATTTACATAGAGGAACTGAAACATGGAAATAGCCATCGATATATTTCTTTCTCCAATTTTACCTATGCAATGATATAATAAAATTGAATATTAGATTTATCATATTTTATTCTGGTACGCCATATCAGACCAATGAAATCTCGAGACATAAGCTCTACGAAATATCAACGACTATGGATATCGGAGAAATTTCATTTAGCTGTTTACCTCCTTTACAGCCATCGAGTGGATTTGTTCAAGTACGTTTCTCAGTGATTCATCACCGTGGTAATCCTCGATGAAACGTTCAACGAGGATAATCAACAATGCGACGGGTTGTTCGTTTCTTCGCGATTAACACGCGACTCTATTTAAGTTCCATTCGCGTTCGTTAACGTCCGTTCTAAATCTATGTTTAGCACTAACGCTGATTCGCGTCGGTCCGCTCGATGAGAAAGACTTTCTGCAACACGGAGTATTTCCGTGTATCAGACGCACAGATTCCTCCAGGTCGATGGGCTTTCTAACCCTGATCTCTCGCTAGAAGGTGAAGGTCGCCTACATTTATTTCCTGCCTACTTAGCTATCACCGGTTCGCCCGACAATCCGCTATTGGCTTATCCACAGGATCCCCTCTTTCAATTAATCGAATCCTAGATTCTTCTCGTCACTCTGCCATCGTTCTGGAATTCCATCGACCATCCATTTCCTTTGCTGGTTCTTCTTTCATTTTGTTCTCTTCTTCTTTTCATTAAACATCGAATGCCGAGTGTTAAATATTGAATATTAAACAAGCCGCTAGAGACGTTGTTTCTCTAAATTTTACGTTTGCATATTTGTTTGTGGCGACGAGTTACTTCTTTCCTGAGTATCGAACATCGATCGCCTACTCGCGTAATGAGATCAAGAAATTGACAACACGTGGTAGTTGATTGATTTGGCTTCCGACAGTTGATTTCAAAGGTCATCGCCAACGAAGATCGCCACCAGAAAATTTTCCCGTGTACTATTATCCCTGCTTATTGGAAACTTTTTCTTCGAAAATCTCCTTTGTATATTTTCTTGTATGTATTCTTTCTACTCTCGATCAATTCGTTCGGAAATATCCAGAAACTGACGTAAACGGCTAGTCAGTTGTGACATTCATAAAACTATGTGATATGCTGCCTTGGAAGAATGATGGTATCGATGATCGATTATACGATCGTTCGTGTACGTTTTTTTTTTTTTTTTTTTTGTAGGAAACGCGCTGCCGATTCGCTTTGTTTTTCCGAACTTTCTAATGGACGATGTGCCAGCGGGGAGGGGAGAGGGAAATTTCGAAGGGAAACGAAAACGCTTGAAACTGATCATTTCCGATCTGTGAAACGCGACGATCGATCGGCGAAATCGAGTCGCGATTCGAAGATACACGCGCGCGCGCGCCGCGAAAACTGTGCGGCGATTGTCTGACGTAACGAAATTATAGCGATTATCGTTCCACGCGGGCGTGATCGCGGTGCAGAAAGGTTTCTCCCTGTGTTAAATTGACGTGCTATCGCGATCGATCGCGAAGGAAAACGTGCCTCACCGGCGCGTTAAACGATGACATCGAAGCGAGCTTCGATGACTTTGGACTTTGATGCCGATGGATTTCGATTTTAATAATCATAAGCGTAGCCTGAGGCATTTCTCGAAAAAAAGGGGAGGGGGAACACGCGAAGATTACGATAATTTCGTGATCATTTCTTTCGAGATAAAGGTTACGAAATGTTCTTTTTTTATCTTGGCGAGAATACATATGAACCGAATTTTGTAATTTGCACGAGAATAGCGATAGAATAGCGAAAGGCTTGCAGTAATAATAAATCAGCTTCTGTGTTCATAAATTGTAGTTCAACGAATGATTTAGTCAACTAATACCACAGTCCACTTGAAGTCTTGCCTATTTGTTGCAACTTCTTCAATTTTTCTATTCGTGTTACATAAGCGATGTAATATTTATGTCTATTCATGTAAATTCAGCCAAAGGAATGGAACACGAGTAAGCTATTACAAATTATAATGAGCATTTGACTATGCGTTCGAAATATTGCATTTTGAATATTTTTACATCTTTTGGTGAGTTTTAACATAAATGTATGAACACATTGGACTCCCTTTGTAACGGTTGGACAAAATTCTTCGGGAATCTGAGAAAAAGCTGATTTCTCCATCTTTCGTAACATATACTATGAAAGATACTATACTAAAAACTCTTCGATAACTCTTCGAAAAATTCTTTTATCGCGGAACGTTCCGAATCGCACGAATTTCTCAAATCTAAATCACGCTCGGCCTCGTGGTATGCACGTTGTTGCGTAAAACGTGTGGAATTATCATATACTCGGTAAAAACGAAAATAAAAGAAACGGTAGAAAAGGAAAAAAGTGATTCGACTTGCATGAGAGGAATTACACGAAAGAATTGTACGCATGTGCGACGATTCATGATAATCTAGTGATCTTATTGAATACACGTGTTATCGTGCTGCCTTTGAATCGATCACAATCGATCGGTGACAATAACATGCCGATTGTTACCAACGAGATATTGTATTGAATTTTCTTCAGTATTATCTACATGCGTGACGACACGTGAACATCGAATAGATACAAGTAATAGGTACAAAGAATTTACATAACGAAAAGAATTACAGCAAGAAGGACGCCAGATAAATTCTTGCGTGCGATTGCACGTGCAACGTAAGTGCAAAGTATTATTTAAGAAGGAAAATTATAACGACAAACCCACCGGTTCCTAGGAGGACGTTTATTTAGGAACGTGTTACGGGACACGAGGCTTTTCATTTCCGATTTTCTCTAACGTTCGTGAAATGTTATTACAGAATGTCCTGTGAAATTGTAAAAGCAGGGAGATCCTCTCCCTGGCAGATTGTTACGTGTAATCGAGGAATCGTGCCAGGGACGAGCGGACGGTGACAATTTACAATAACCGCAACGAATCCGCACGGACGATGCTACTTTCGCGAATGCAATCTGGATCAGAATTTTATAATCAGTCTACTTTGTACATCCTACGTTCTGTCTCGAAAGTTTCTCCTTGATCAATTAAATTCCTAATTCACGGGAAGTTAAGAAATATATCATGAAACATACGAAATATATAAAAAATTAGGTATGAAGGTACAACCTTGCCTTTTCACATTTGATGAAGCGGAACAAATTTCTCCGTAAGTTGTATTTTTTTTCTATTTTTTTTTTTTTTTTTTTTTCTAGCGATCATAAAATTTGAATGAAATCGACTGATAAATATATCTTTAGAAGTGAGACGATCGAGAAACTTTTTGTAACATTTAATAGCTCGTTTCTATCGGCTAGAGAGTGCCGGTATCGAAAGTGAAGTGGTCGTAAGTTTCACGCGAGTTGAAACTGTACTCTCCCACTGCTTTCTTCTAACAATACCTATTCGTTCTACTGTTCGGTGGCTATTCAATTTCAAATTAGGAAATATTTACCATTTCGTATGGTGAAGAGCACGTAGATGAAATAGGCGACGATCAGGCCTCCGATCAGCGTCAGCATCTCCGCGGTGAATTCCAGCAACATTTATCACGCGTTTCACATCGTATCACCGAACTGATAAGCCTAGCAAACGGTTTGCTCGCACTTTCGACGCAACGTTGTTTTTATCATTACAGTCAGTATTCCGGTAACACTCGATGTAATTCTCACTGATTCTCGAGTCGGACCATCAATCAAAGCGATCTAGAAAAGATATTCGACAGACTTGCAAACTTCTTAATAGCTTCTGCTATTTTGCACGTTTGATTATAAGTATATCCTTAGTTACCGAGTAATTATTACCAGACTCTCAGGTATAATTAGAGAGGAGATCTCGACGATCGTCCAAGGAAGAATTCGCTTCTGACGCGTTATTCGAATATATTTCCTACCTAGGTATAACTTTCTCGTTTTCTCATGATCGACCAATACCGAAAGTTCTCACGTTGCGCGCCGAGCTTCGCCGTTTACAACGAATGTTGGTAATTTAGGCTGATTATTGAGGAAAAAATTACGCGGTGAATTCGACATTCACGGACGTGTCTTCCAGCACTTTCGGTCGCTTTATTTCACTTTTCCTCGATGATAATCGCACTTTCGAAGCCTCCTTCGATCGTTGCAAGTGGCAAATCTCTTCCTTACCGACGGCGATAAATATTAAGATTTTCTCGCATCGAGAACAATAAAGAGCAGTGTTTCCGACACTTTCGACAATTCGTAATTAAAAACTAAACCGCGCAGCTGTATATACATTTTATACGCGAAAGGACGGCTATGCGCCTGCGCGAGCGCATGAACACGTGCGGGATGCACGGCGCGGATGTGATCGAACGACAGACGATAGCGAGAACCTTTAAACTCTCATTTGAATAGCTGTCTGACAAGGATTCGCTGGACTTTGAAGTTTCTCGTTCGGGAACGGTAATCTTTTTACACGCGTCTGCTGTCAGCAGGTTATCTGCGCTATCATTACTATTGTCGTCATCGATAATTAAACGCGGCTCTCGTTCGCCGTTCCGACATTGTGACATTTATCTTGGAAAACAACTTAACTCGCGTGAATAATTCTAATCATCATTAGACTGCAGTTCTTCACGCGCGTGAACAAGAAATTTTCAAGTACAAAAAATTGCATGCGTACTTAACGAGAGAACATCCAAAGTCTAACGTCTACTTTTATTCGTCATGATGCTAATAAAATCACACAGGTGTTTTTTTCTTTTTTTTTTTTGTCTGTAACATAATACAATACAAATATTCTCGCGAGTTAAGACGTATTCTTGAACGCATTTAGTCTAATTTGTCTATTTTATTAATTGCACGAAAAAATATATAAAATTTGTCCGAAGTGTAGCGCGTTCTACAATATTTGGTATATAAAATGATTACTTTCCCTCCGAGTTTCCGTTTCATTAATTATGCTCTGAAGAGTATAAATTTGCAGTCTACTTGTTACAACACTAATGCACGCTTTTAAAAGTGTTCTCGAATCTGAATAGAACAGACGAATAAATTAGAAACAAAAGAAATATATTAAATCGTTGATGATTTCGTTTGTAATTTTATATGTTTCGTGATACGATTAACCGAACCGCACGGTCCCGTGCAAATCGCTGTCACCTTTTTGTAACTAAACGGCGTGAAACACACTCGGAGAGCATTTAATACCTCGCAATCGTCGTAATTACCGCGTTGGCTGTTGCATAATATCGTCGTCTTGATATTTTCTTCTATTAATTTAACTTGCTTGGAACTCGACGTGTTCCTTGATTACGATATTTTCGAAGGAAAAAGAAAAAGAAAGAAAAAAGAAATGAAAGAAAAAAAGTTGTTCGATGGAAAATCCCGAAGATGGAAGATACGTATAGAATTATTGAAAGAAATTTCATAGCTATCGCGAAGTGAGAATCGAACGGTCGAGGCATGGCTTCGTCGTGCCTCTTATCGAAGCCAATTACAAGACGTCGTACAGAGCAGGTAGATGTATTATTTCAAATCAGTTAGTCTATCTGACTGTTCGATTCGAAACTTCTGAAGCTTCGTCAATATCCTCAGGAACCTCAAAATTCTTGTCTCGCCTCTCAATGACCAAAGTGTAACAAACTTATTATCGAATCATTGGCTGTTAATCGGCTTAACTATATTAATCAGAAGTTAAAGTACGATAGACACGGCTTACCAGATTAGCAGATTAGATTAAGAGAAACAAGGAAGGTCTGAGACTTTTAACGTAGCGTCGTCACAGATTTACTACAACTATCGAGATAAGTCCGAACGAACCCGGTGTTTACATCACCATGGAGGCCAGAAGGCTCTCCATTCACTCGCGAAACAGGTAATTAAAAGCCTGGCCGACGAGAGCACGGCGAGAACCAGCGCTTATTGATTCACCGGATCGCGGATTCACTCAACTTCTTCCCTCGTGCTATCTTATCTCTCAAGGGCGCAATTAACAAACGATTAGTTAAAACCGCAGACAGTGATTGCAATTACGTATGCAGCTAGAGTCAACTTAGAGTCAAACTCTAGCCAGCCTTTCTTGCACTTCCGAAGATCATTAATTTCGAAACACCTTGACGATCGTCGAGCCTCCTCTATTTCCCGTCGAATGAAACATTCAATTTATTCAGACATTCGTTATACGCTTACGCTTACGGTATTTCCTGTTAAATCCAAAGATCGCGCCTCGTTCGAACTTCACTTGGATCGCACTTTCACTGGTTGGATTTGGAGAGGCGGTCAGTGGCGGAATTTTCAAAACAGGTGGATGTCGTTTTGCTCGATCGGTGCACCGCGCGAGTTCACGTAATATCCGCGTAATTTTTTTCGATTTTTACTTGAATCGGGTTCTCGATCGAAAAATCAGGCGCCAGGCGAATTAGAATAATTCGACGCGGAAGCAACGAATCGGCCGATCGTCGTACAGGCGCTGTGTGTTGTGTGTGTGTAATCGCAGGCCTGCGCCGCTCGCGACTGAGCCTTTGCTGAAGCGGCAAACTGATACGCGCGACCGACGTGTACCCCACATACGCCGCTCTGTACGGCTTCCTTTTAGTGGGGGATACTTTTGCGAGGGAACCTACATTTTCTAAAATCGGCAGACACCTCTTCCGGACGGTCACGACGAGCCGAGGCACGTCGTCTGCTGGACGCGTTTGTTTCCGAGACACCGATTTTTGGCGCGTGCCATGAGCTTCTTGGAAAGCTCTCGATCTCTCAGACGTTGGAAAGAAACGATCTCTTAAGAAACGAGACGATTCATTTCCTCCGAGATTATTTTGTATCAGTGAGAATTCTATTTTTACGTGCGACACGAACCTAAGGATAAGATACGAAGAATACTGCGAATAAATTTCGAATCGAATGCAGTCTGTGAACGTGCAGAAAGATGATCTTGAAGAAAGAAAGATGTTTTGTCAATAGGAATTTATGGAGTCGATCTCCTTGACCTTTAACCTCCTTTAATTGAAGAACAGTACGAGAAGTTATAAAAAGATGGAAATCACGAAGTTATTTCAACTTCACGCTATTGAATACACATTTTATCTGCGAAGGTGCCTCGGAACTGATCCGGCTATTTATGAAAAATATTCACGTATCTGCGAAACAAGTGACCTGTATCTACTGAGCTGATGGAGCTTCGTCGTCTAAGAATGGTAGAACGAAAAATCTAATTTTAAAATTATGATAAATTCACATTATTCACGTACAAGCGACACATTTGTCGAAATATTTATCGAATGCGACGGTGCAACTACAAGTGCAATGTATTATAAAGAAAAAGATACGTAAAAGTTCACTGTCGTATATTAAAATAGGATATTTGATTTACGAATTCATAAATATCGAGCTGTGGAATTTTTTCGATTTCATCGTGCGTATATTTATATAAAATCGAGGTCTGTTGGCTCTCGGGACATTTTCTTCCAATGAATCGCTCCAATAAATTTGAAGTCGCGCGTTACCTTCGATTCCCGATAGAATTTGAAACAATAAAACGCTAACGATTTCTTCGAAAGAACACACAGTTGAGCTTCACAGATGTATGTATTTTCCTCTGAAAACAAGTAACACACAAAATGGATGTAATTACATTTGGTGACGTCCGACGTGCATTTAATCAGCGATTCTCGCCGGTAAAGAAACAAAACGAGTGATCTTTTCCGGGACAATGATAAGGCGAAGCTTTTCTCTAGCCTTCTGACTCATTTTCTTACGCAACCGATAAACGAGCTCTCCCGTTTAAGATTATTGTCCTGAAATCATTATATCCACCATTGTTCCCTGCTTCGAGCCGTCCTTCGATCCAAGAATGATTCACTTGTCGGAGAGTGACGTGTACAGAAGTCATAGAGGCCAAGTAATCATCGTATAAAAAATTAGTAAAAATTAATTAATTAACTTTTCTAAAGCAGGAGTCAGGACTCGACTACGAATTATAATTTTTTATCACCAGGTTTTAATTGAAGAAACGATAACCTCGTGTCGCGCGAACTTTGAAATGTAGCGCGAAGACTTTGAAACATAGTGTGAGACACACTGACGAATGACGATCGAAGAGAATCCCCATTCTGGCGGGAAATATCTAGCCGTGACTTTTTACGACTCGTGGCTAACAGTAGAAAACTATTTATCCGTCGTCACGTTACAGACGTCAATGTTCATCCCTAATCAAAATTATTTGTCAATTTGCAAAATGTATTTTCTATTTCCTTATTTAAACTAGGTTTCTAAATATCGTAATTCGAGAATCGTAAGCGCCAGTTTAAATGTCAGTTTCAGTGAATCATTCGGTAGTCGTACCTCGGACGTCTATATGTAAAGCGTGCGCAAAACGAGTAAACACGTTGCCTGTATGGCTTTTACACGCGACGATTGCTTTACCATGCAAATATTTATGCTTCATACGCAGCAGCTTTTCTCATGCACGGCTTTTGTACGTCTGACAATTTATCCGAACGGTATCTTACTTACTATACAGGTTGACGCCTGCGGGGTCAACGCGAATACGAGTCAGAGAACATACGAGATTTTCACACAATGTACATATTCTTACTCTTTAAATTTAATTCAAGTCGTGTCAATGGTGACGATGAATTTTCCAACACATCCTTTTTCTAACCTCCTTTTCTTTCGAGATTCATTCTCCAGTTGTAAATCATTTTGCCCGATCGGAGAGATCCCTTTCAGCGATTCTGATATCACGAAAATCGATAGCGTGAGAACACATTTTCCTCGATCGCCGCTTCTTCCCGACTTTGCGTTTCTAATTGCGCTTCTGCCGATGCTCGATCTTTTAATTTCGCTTTCTACGAGAAAGTTCAACTTTAATCCACAGTTTCCTCAGTTTAAGACAAAGATCGATAGATCGGTTGCACTACATTTCCTTCGAGTTCTCCGATTATCTATCGAGTCTTACATTTTCTACTCTTAAATTCCTATCCTATATATATATATATATATATATATATATATATATATATATATAT